TGTAAACAAAACACATGTAGCTGTCTTGGTTTGAAGAAAAAAGGCTCTGCCATTGTGACACTATTTTCATAGTTTTTTAATTTTTTTATTTATTTTTTAATTTTGAAATAATTTACACAAAATGGCAAAAATCAAAGCAGTTAAGTATAGAGGTGAAGGCAACAAGTGACATTTTAATCAAAGAAGGCTACTCTCAAAGACAAATTGCCAAGGAGGTGAAGATTTATAGACGTGGTGTCCAATATTCGTTAGACAGGCAGTTAGAAAGTGGCACAAATTTTGACAGAAAAAGAACTGGGGCCCCAAAAGTGATAAACACTTGATAATTAAGAGGAAAAGAAACTGAAGAAAAACTGCTAGTGAGTTGATAGCGGAACTTAATTCCTTTCTATAGCAACCAGTGTCGTTCTTAACTGTGAAAAATCGACATAGATCAGCGGGACTCAGCGGGGTGGATAGCCATCAAGAAACTTCAGTTATAGGAGGTGAATAACCAGAAAAGACTTTTATTGGCAAAAAGCATAAGACATTGGAAGAGTGACAGAAAGTATTGTGGGCGGACGAGTCTAAATTTAAACTTTTTGGGAGTAAGAGGAGAGTGTATGTGAGAAGAAAGCCAGAAGAAAGCCAGAATGATAAATATGTTGTTCCAATAGTTAAGTATGGCGGAGGGTCTGTTATTGAGTCGGGGTCTTTTGGGGAAGAGAGAGGGCTGGAGATTTTATTCACTTCAAGCGAATAATGAAAAAGAATAATATTATTTAATTTTGCATGTTATACCGTCTGGTTTAAAATTCACCTCTCAACAAGACAACGATTCAAAACACTCTTCTAAATTATCAAAATTACCTCGAGTCAAAAAAAAAGAAAGAAATTTTTTTAATTTATGACTTGGCTGCTTCACTCTCTTGATCTCCCCCCCATTAGTATAGGGGTGAATTGGATAGGGGAATTGGGAAAGAATATCCAAAGAGTAAGTGTTTTTTAGTGTTTGAAGAATGCTTGAAAAAGTCTTCCAAACTGTTTTCAGAAAAACTATTGGAAAGAATGCGAAGAATCTGTAAAACAGTAATTAAGGCAGGTGGTGGTTTTATTGACGAAAAACAAAATATGATACTGTTGTATAATAATTTTTATACTATACTGTACTTACTTTTGTGGAAATAAAAACAAAGACATGAAACAGTCTCGAAATTTTATCTTTTACTTAAAAAAAAACAAAACATGCATAACTCATCTTAAGCTGTTTTCAGAAACGCAGGGTGGCTCTAAACGTTTTACATGTGTGCACGCGCGCGAGTGTATGTATGTGTGTGTGGATTGTGTAATGGTTATTGGTGCGTGGAGTGGATTGAAACCGAAATCAAATTCTAGTGAATTCTGTTTGGTTTTACATTAAAGTCGCTGGAAAATACAAGAATTTTTATTTCTCCAGTTATGGATTAAATAGCAAGACAGGATCTCTTACCACAAGTAGTAACCAGTCTAGGAGAAGGAAAAGTCTCAATTCACACCGGAAGAGGGCTGTTGATAGATTGTGGAACACAGTGCGCCATTTTTGTTATCAGTTCTTTCGAAAAATGTAGATGGTTCTACACAAGCCTTCATCACTAGAATCAAGTCATGTGTGTGGGTAATCTTGAGGCTTAGCTTAGTTCGAAACCATGCTGTTGGGTCATCCAATGTCAAATCAACAAGAGACTCCACTTATATATATATATATATATATGTGCGTGTGTGTGTGTGTGTGTGTGAGCACGTGTGTGTATGTGTAGAAAAATTTGCTGGTATAAAATCTGAAGAGAGTCCATTATATATATATATATATATATATATATATATATATATATATATAAAAGTGAACATAGAAGTCAACATTTAGAGGCAACAGTCTGTTTCATGCTATATGCAATCGTCAGGCACGTAGCCTGACGATTGCATCTTGAGGGCCGTCGATAGCTCTGCTAACACAAAGCAGGTGTCAAAGCATTGGCCTTGTTCAAATTGTTGATCACGCTAAATAACATGCTCTCGACTAGAAACTGGAACTAAAGTCTGCTCAGCAGAGCTGCAGTATAAACCACAGGTGGGCTCTGTGGTGTTGAGCAAACCAGTAGACGAATACGAGGATATATATATATATATATATATATATATATATATATATATATATATATATATATATATATATATATATATATATATATATATATATATATATATGAGGGATAGTGGATAGGGCTCAGATTGAGGAATCGGAGAGCCGAGTTCGAATTCAGTCGAATCCATTACATTCACTTACGTGCTAATTTCCATCTTCCTCTCCCTCCTGCTATAGGTAAATAGCAGGAATTCTATAGCCTCCGATACCAACTGGTCTAAAAAGGAGGACAACTCAGAATTCAAAACCTGCGGGGGATCGTTTTTTTTGGGGTGGGGGCAGCTGCGTGTGGCATATAGTTGTGTGTTTGGAATATTTGATAGTATTTGGCGTTCAACGTCAGGTAAAAAGAAGAGTTTTGAATACTGAGTTGAATATTGAAAATTGGAGGTAACAGAAATATGGTTCCACAAAAGGATGTTGAGAATTCTTTGAATGGCTCGCATAAGCAAAGAAGAAGCCTTAAGTATAATAGAAAAAGAAAAGGACACTTAGACTCAGAATTAGTAAGAGACTATTGAATATTCTTTAACACATAATGAGGACTGAGGGCTTGGAGAATTTGACACTCAAAGGACATATCGAAGGTATAAGGGATAGGAGTAGGCCACTTACCATACCAGCTTGTGTGAATGGATCACGGTAAGGGGTGGGGCGTAGGTTTGGCAAATGGAGAAATGTTGCTGAGCTCTACAAGTCGTATGTGGTTGTGGAGATCTATGATCGATAAGTCCTGAAAGAACACAGCGCCTAGAAGAAAAAACGGAGATTTTCCATCTGGCAGATTGAGAAAACACATATTCTTCTTACGTGCATTTTCACGGACTTTTGAAATATATATATATATATTAGGGCTGCTAGCCAATCCTTGTTGTAGACGCTTTCCCAGGTGCATTTGTGTTTATTCAAAAGCCACAAAACTCTGCAACCTAAGCAAGCCTTAGTTATAGTTTCCGGTAAAGAGCGTGATCAACAATTTGAACAAGACCAGCACGCTCAAGTCCTCGGCCACGATAACTTGTGACTTCGTGCTTGCACAGATATCGACAGTATCCATGTATTCTGTCTATCCAATTTCACTCACAAGGCTTTGGCTTTCAGTCATTTTCCAAATATATATATATATATATATATATATATACATGTGCGTGTGTGTGTGTGTGTGTAAAAATATATAGAAAATAGGAAAGAACTCGTTAGGTAAATAATCCAAAGTTCTTTAGTATTTTTTATTATTTAAAAAAAATAGTGCTCGATACAAAGTATATATATATATATATATATATATATATATATATATATATATATATATATATATATATATATATATATATACTTATATACTTTATATATATATATATATATATATATATACTTATACTTATATACTTTTATATATATATATATATATATATATATATATATATATATATAAAGTATGTATATATATATATATATATATAAAGTATGCGTATGTGTGTGTGTGTGTCATATATTCCCGAGAAGTGAGTCCTTTGTTCATTTGATAAGCAACAGGCAAAGTCATGTATGTGTTTGAGAGAGAGGGAGGGTGAGAGATAGAAAGGGTGTCTGCGTGTATGAGAGAGAGAGAGAGAGAGAGAGAGAGTAAAGAAAAGAGAGAACGTGTGTATGTATGTGTTTATCCGTCCATTAAATATCAATTAACAAAGCCACACATACACGAGACGTCAGTCCTTTGTTCACTCGGTAACCAATAGGCAAAGTCACATGTGTGTGTGCGTGTGTGCGTGTGTGCGTGTGAAAGAGTGTCCGTGAGAGAGAAAGAGAAAGGGAGCGTCTGTGTGTCTGGTCAGGGGGGGGTGGAATGTTGAAATAAAGAAAGTGTGTGTGCTTGTTTTTACTGATGCACAAACGCCGACCAGCGTTTCTGTGTGTTTATGCATGTGACTGAATATATTTGTGTGATCGACAGAGGAAAAGAGAGGAATGAATGATATATATATATATATATATATATATATATATATATATATATATATATATATATATATATATATATATATATAGAGAGAGAGAGAGAGAGAGAGAGAGAGTGTGTGTGTGTTTTGTGCGTGCGTACGTGTGTTCTAATACTTATATGGGGCCTATATATAGGAGTAAGTAGATAATGTTTTATTCTTGTGGTAATTCACAGACGAAGACATATATGTGAGTGTGTTTGAGAGAGCGAGAAAGTATATGTCTGTGTCGCTGATAGGTCAATTAACGCAGTCATTTAAACAAAAGTAAATCGTCAGTTTTTATTCACTTGTTTACCCACAGACGAGGCCTTGTGCCAGACTATACATTGCTTAGTAGATGTTCACGCACCATATATTTGCCACGCTAGACTCAAAATATATTACGTAAGTGTTAAACAGGCTGACAATGGCGTGTGAAAAAAGAAACCGTGGTAGACGTCCTTGTCGTATGTGGCGTAGTTAAATTTTAAAAGGTGTGTCTGGAGAATGTGTGTGCATTTCTCTGTGCTTGGTTGACCAATTCACAAGCAGATGTTTTGCAAAATGCATGAAAGAGCACAAATATGTTACCATCGGGAAAGAATACAAGGCGAATCGTTTCCATAAAAGCCACGCCATATTTGAATAGCTGAGAAATTTCAGTTTTTCCGTAACACAGTCAATTGTTCAGAAACTACAAAATCATTCTGTCTCTCTCTTTCTCCTTTCCTCTCTCACTCCCATGCACATATCCGATGCAAAACATCTGAAATTAGACCTAATTATTGCCTTTGAAAACACATCTATCTATCTATCTATCTGTTCAGACATATCTATCTACCTAATTATCTGCTCAGATCTATCTATCTATCTATCTATCTATCTATCTATCTATCTATCTATCTATCTATCTATCTATCTGTTCAGACATATCTATCTATTTATCTATCTACCTATCTAATTCTCTGCTCAAATCTAGCTATCTCTGTCCCACTTTATCTATCTATCTATCTATCTATCTATCTATCTATCTATCTATCTATCTTGGCCTGTTCCTATCTATCTATCTATTACATGATGCTGTCAATTATTCTTACAAGAAATATATGAGTCCGTTACTAAAAAGGCAATACAATAAAAGACTAACATATTTTACTATCACCGAGATGTACAATAATTGCAAGCAGGACGAATGCTGCATGCGACGGATTCTTAAACATATTTCAGTCGTAAATCTCGGCAAACAGGTAAAACTTATATTACAAATGAAAAACCACCAACTTCGTTGTAACTAATAAAAATAACCCTAATAAATGTAAACTAGCGATAACCAATATCATGTACTAATTTATCGGTTATACCCCTACCTGCTTGAGCAGACGCTTTTATCCGAGGACACTTCGCCCAGTGTATAAAAGCTTTTGTTGATGCCAATGACTTGACCTAAAGAGTTGTGAGTTCAATACCTGGCTACAGCAGAGGTAAACAAAAACTTGGAGAGTTGAGTTAAAGGGAGATAACTGATACTGAGGCATTCGAAAAGGGCATGGCACGTAGAACTAGAACAGTCTACGCCTGTTGACGAAATAAAGAGTTTAGTTCGAAATTCCAACCACCCGATAAAAGACGGACCGTACCACAGTTGAAAAGTTGTGAATATGGCAACAAAGATGAAGACAACAGTTCGAAAAATGTAAATCGTGTAAATAATTACAAAACTTCATCTCAGAAATATAGACAGAAAATAGATATCTGTTTTACAATGGATAATACACAACGAGTATAAACTTTCAAAGCGGAAGAAAATGAGTTTCCCTTCGTACGCGAAGGAATGTCCTAATTTATGTTTTTAATCGTCTTTTAGATGTGGACTGATAATAGGGAACGATACACATGAACTGAAGCCTTAATGAAAAAAGAAGAAAAATATCAACATATTGAGTCTATATCTCTGAGATGAGGTATCATGATTACTTACATTATGAACATTATTCGGACTCTTATCCTCATCTTGATTGCCATATTCACCAGGACACATGGCCCAGTGGATAAAGACGTTGGTTAGATCCAGTGACTAAATTCTACTGATATAATGGCTGTCTATATCTCTGAGATGAGGTATTATGATTATTTGCATTATTTACATTATTCGCACTATTATCCTCATAACTAGAACGATCCGGTAGGCGAAATAAAGGGTTCGGTTCGAAATTGCAATCATCTGAAGAAGGCCGGAGCGTACAACGACCGAAACGTTGTGAATATGGCAATGAAGATGGGGGTAACAGTCCGAATAATGTAAATAATGTAAATAATCATTAACAGATCGATTGGAACAGCTAACATAAATAAATCACCTGCATATCAACCTTTACCGGAAAAATATGACGGAAAATCTGTTGTAAGTTCAGACATCTAAATGCAGCGTCATTCGTAATCTTCTATTTTCTTAATTCCTGTTCTTTTAGTATCCTCTTTCCTTAATAATGTTTTTTCTTTCTCATATTCACTAGCATTCAGTAACCCCTTGCGTCTTCGTGGCACTGTTAACTTGCTTGGGATGAAATTATTTAAAAAAAAATCACGAAATGATTCCTTTTAAACATCAAATGGCAAGGAGAGTCATGAAAAAAAAAATGGATGTCCTTTTTTTCTTATGTGCAGCTTTATACAACGCTACTTAGCGGTCTTTAAAAGGTAGACAAGGTAGGGTCATTCCATAATGTGAAGATGGCGACGGAGAATTAGCACTGAGGGTCATAAAATAAATGTCTTAATGAAGTACATGGATAGAAAATATTAAGAATAGGAGGATTTGAAGAGCGAACCATTTGTGATGTGCAAAATGTTCCGTTTAAAATATCTTGTGTAGATTTCCAGCGAGAATTATGACCGACTATTAATGGCAGAAAATTCCAGACAATGTTAACAGTTCATTTGTTTTTACAGACATCATAGAATCATTTTATATTACATTTTAAACATCGATTGAGAATTATGTAACTGTTGAAACTTGACTAATTCATGGAATAATAATGCAACACAAAATGTACTCAGAACAAAATGTATTGAAACAAGTGTACACAATATTTACATATAGTCTTTTGTATATTCCTGGTAAGACCGTTCCTGGAGAATGTGTTGACTGAGTCGCAGTCGGGCAGAGTCTCTGGTTGAATCTCTTGATTCCTCCCTCTCTTCCCGGTACCAACCATATTTATATGGTCGGTACTCCACTATGCAAATTAGGTGGATTCTACCACAACAGTAACAAAAGATTAAAAAAATCACATCGGTTCTAACTACAGACCTCAAGCAATATTCTTATTTTTCTTATAAAATATCATGTTTAGATACCGACCGAGTATCTCCCAAATTGTCTAATATCAAATTATAAGACACGTAAAAAATTAAATAATTTAAAATGTAACAAATATTTTAGTTAACACAGACATAGTTTAATTTAGATACATGTACATCGTGAATGATATAATGCCTAACGGGTAGGAATGATTAATCAGCGCCTCGAGTTCGAACTCTGGTCGAGTTCGTTACCCTCGTTTACGCAAAAATACTTTTGATGAGGATATGAACTTATCTCTTTTCCCGTCGATGGGTTAAACAGCAGGATAGTCGTTGATTCTCTCTAGTCGTAGTTGGCGACTAGCCTAGGAGAAGGAAAACTCTGAATTCAAAACCCAACCAACCTGAAACTGTACAACTACTGTTAGACATGGCGCATCGATACAATGTCCGTAAAACAAAATAACAATAGATTTATACAGCTATGGATTATTCCACAAAATATCGATTATCCGGAATATTGCTGGCACCATTTAGCCTTGAGCTGAACGTAGATGGATGGATGGAGTCAGGCTGTGCCTGGATTCGCAATTCTACATAAATCATTGTGCTCATTTCAGTTTTAGTACTCTTTGGTCAATGTATCAAAATATTTTAAAAATCATTTTGCCCCAAGCATGGCAATAAAGCTGTTAGAGAATATGAGAAAAGTTCGTCGAAGGCAAAGGTTACATTAACAGCTTTCGTCGCTTACGAGTGGACGAGACCGGCGCAGCGAGGCAAGTGCCGGGCGGCAGCGAGAGACGGCGGCCGGCCAGCCCGGGAAGAAGCAGCGCGCGGCGCCGCCATCGCCGAAGCCAGCCGCGTTGGACCACTTGACTTCAGGCTCGGGGTGTCGTACTTAGTAGAGCAGCCACCACACTGCGATCTATTGAGACTAAGCCCTCGACCGACTCGATTCGTCCTCCTTGCAAGTTGTCGACTTATTTTCGTAGTGCCGAGAAGGAAAGGCTTGCAAACATAGAAAGTAAATTGCCAAATATGAGGAAAAAAGAAAACATTATCAAGCAAAGAAAATCTGAAAAGAGCAAGAATTAAGTCGACAGTAGATAACTATTGATATCGCATTTAAAATTTTGAAGATCAAAATTAACTGGGAAGCAGGAAGCCGGAAAAGAGTTCCACAAGTGAGGAGAGTTATAGAAGAAACTTAGCATTTTACTTACGGTTACATCTAGCCATTTCCATTGTAAAATAATGAGATCTAGCCGCCAAACTAGTACTGCGCTTAAATTCATAAAGTTTAGGTACGACAGAGGAAAGTCAATCCAAACAATTACCATGAAAGTAGTTATAGAAAATGCACAGTGAAGCTACATTATGGCGGTGAGAAAGTGACTGAAGCCGAGATGCCAGGTCAGGACCAAAAACATAACAGATTCTTCTTTATAATTTATCAATAATCTCTAAAGATATAGCAAGAGTATCAGAACAGATGTGGTAGCAGTATTCAAAGCAAGGACGAATGGAAGCAGTATTCAAATTAAGGACGAATAGATTCTGTTGAGAAAAAATACATTACAGAGAATCAAGGTTCTTAGCAGCAGACCTAGCAATTGATTCAATATAATCATTTCACTTCATGTCAGCGGGAAACGTTATTTCGAGAAGGAACAATGAATTACTCTCCTGATGCTTAGCATTAGCCATACTGATGGAAAGCAAAAAGGATCTCCCAGATGATTAAATGAGAGCAGTTTCATTTCGGAGGCGTTAAAGTTAACAAACCATTCATTGTCCTTGTTAACAACAGAGTTGATCATTTTTTAGATTAGCTGCCAATTTGACCTTATCGTACCAATCAGACTTACTATTAAGAAAAGAATAAATGGCTGTGTTATCAGCATAGATAAAAGGTTGAGTACGGATGCCATAATGAAGGTCGTTGATGAAGATTAGGAAGAGTATGAATCCAAGGATAGAGCTCCGGGGGACACATTTAATAATGCAAACAGATCTAGAAGAGTGGACATCTTTCATTTCGTGATTTTATAATAAAGATTAATTAAAAAATTCGTCAACTTGTGAAGAAGAACAATGTGTCAAACTCAGTTACATGCCTTCGAGATAGCTAAAGCAACAACCCGAGCTTCACCATTCTTAGCTGAAGTATGATAGTCGTTAAGAGATCAGTAATGTAATGTATCATTAGTGTATATGATGAAAGCCATATGGCTTATCTGAAAAAAAGACCCCGCGTAGTGAGATGCTTAACTAGTTCATAGTTAATTAGAGCGTCTAGTACTTTGCCGAAAACAGGTAGAAATGTAATAGGCCGATAGTCATACATGGTTCGCTTGACAAAAGGGATTTCTAACAAGCAGGAAAACAAGAAGCAGCGAAGTATTTATAGAAGAGGATTCCTAACAAGTAGAAAAGCAAGAAACAGCAAGGCATTTACTGTAGAGCTTAGAGAAAACAGGAACCATATCACTCAATACAGACTAAGTTCTAAATGGAAAGGCAGGCAAAGATACTTTAGATGAGTCATGAATAGAATTCGAAAAAGAATTTACAAGCAAAACATTCTGACTTATCAGAAGTTGCTAACACCTCAAATTAAGCGAAGAAAAGAGAGATCAAAGACTTACTCTTATTTTAAAGACTATTACATAAGCGCCAGTAGTCAGAAGCGACAAAATTGTTAGAAGCTATGAGGTGTCTGATTCTATCCGTAAACAAAGACTTAGACTCTTTCAGAACATGTTTACAATTGTTACGAGCAGACACAAATAACCTGTTGTGATCGGCATTATCAAGCTGAAGCAGTGATTCCTGAGGGTTATAACGGTAAAAGAGGATGGTGTGAATCAAAGAGAAAATTTTGTTTCCACTTGGTATCTCCGAAAAAGAACAAAAACATCAATGCCAGCTTTAATCCAAGAAGAAAACTTTGTGGCACAATTCTCAATGGGGAGGTCAAGAATCTCAATCCAAGGGGCATGTTTCGAAATGAATCCAAATCAGTACGCTGCTAGCAGAAAAGTCTTGAGAATAGAAGATTCCTTTCTAGTAGACGACGCAAAAGAAATATCAACAGTTGTGATCTTCGACAAAACAAAAAAACTAAAGTATGTTAGTATACTCCAAATTGTGTAGTTAGGAGAATACATTATTCAGTAAAGTGGGCTCCTAAAACGGAAATTACTTGTGACTCAACCTAACACACGCACACACACACACACACACACACACACACACACACACACACACACACACACATATATATATATATATATCACTTTAAACGATATTTTTAGTAGACACATATATTCGAGCAAACGCCTCGTTTACTTAAAAAAATACGAAAATATTACGGAGTAATACATAAAAAAAAAACATTATTTATTTAGAAATTGCTTTGTTTACGTTTCAGATACGAAGCTAAGAGGTTATGAAGTTTCGGGAAATCTAAAACGAGAAGGATGGACTTAAAAGTCAGTATTCCTCCTTGCTTGATCGACGTCCCTCTTCGTGACCAAGTCGGTTAAACACATCAGATCAAACGACGATAGCGCCTGCATAGGGGGAGGCAGGTTCGAAATCTGCCAGAGAGCACATTTTTCTTTCATAAGATTCCTTGAATATTCAATCTAGGAGACGAAAATAAATACATTTTGAAAAATAAACAGAGTGTATACTTATGAGCACTAAAATAACGTTTAAAGTGATAAAAATATATATCGGATTAATAAATAAAAATTCCACTACATCTTTATATATATATATATATGTGTGTGTGTGTGTGTGTAATTGGATAAAGAACAAGTAGGAAATAGATCTCAATCTAATATGTTTTACTTTATTAAAAGCTTCTTCAGAGATCAAGATAGAAATGATATATGATATATATATATATATATATATATATATATATATATATATATATATATATATATATATATATATATATATATGAACATTGTGTACATAGTAAATGTACATTGCACAATGACTGGCAGTTTTCCTCTTTAAGTGGCGATTATCATATTGTCTGATGATCACTTAAGGCGTGAAATTTACCAGTCCAAAGACAGTGTGTATTTCTGTTGCCATTTTATATCTACATACGCTTCATATTGAACAGTCTTCACTTATGAACGTAGAAAATTTTAATCATTATATATATATATATATATATATATATATATATATATATATATATATATATATATATATATATATACGAAGAAATATAGTTTTAAGGTGTACTATATTTATGGATTAAAGTGCTCAACGTTAGAGATAGAGCGTATGTAAATATAAATATAAAAGTGAACATTGAAGTCAACACTCAGAGGCGCCAGGCTGTTTCATGCTGGACGTATATATATAATTTAGGCTGATTGAAATGTATGATGTAATCTCCCGTCTACCTATAAGTTTTCAAAACTGGAAAGTCCATCATACATAAAATAAGGAGTTACTTTTCATATAATTGACTGGACACAGATGCATAATAACTGAATATATATAGAAAACAGAAAAAATTGATTTAATAGCAATAAATTCCATTTATCCATTTTAATGGGTGAAAAAATATTCATACAATACAAAAAAGAATGCATAATCTTCATTTAATACTTTGTAGAATAGCCATTGTTCACTTCTACAGCAACCAACCTCTTCTTGTAGTTCTCAATTAATGATTTACACATTTTAGTTGGTATTTTGTTCCATTCTTCTTCGCATATGGTCTTCGTATCCGGGATATTTTTAGGGCTCTCGATTGGATATGAATTTTCAAATAACACTACCGATTCTTGATTAGGTTTAAATCTGGGGACTGTCTTGACCATTCCAGAATATTTTCATTATTTTTAGAAAGACATTTCTTCGCAGATTTTGCAGTGTGCTTAGGATAATTATATTGTTGGAAGATCCAATCAGGAGGAAATGATCGAAATCATTAAATTTGCTTCCAAAATATTTTGATATGCTGAGGCATTCATTCTACCAGCTGTTACTGATATGCTGCCAGTACCTTTTACAGAAAACATCCCCGAACCATGAAGCTGCCACCACCAAATTTCACTGTTGCTACTGTGTTCTTTTGTTTGAAGGCATTGCCATCTCCATACATGATTTCTAGAATTACGTGCAAACAAGTCAATTTTGGATTCGTCTGTCCATAATACTCTTTCCCAATACGATTTTTTCTTATTCTTATGTTCACGAACAAATTTCAACTTGGCATCTCTGTGTCTTTTCAACAGCAGCGGAGTTTTCTAAGGGGGACTGGAATTTAGATTGTTCCCATGAATTTCATTGCTTATTATCCATTTAGTGGCACATATTCCTGATGAAAGCAAATCATCCTGCAACTGTTGACGTGTAACCATTGGATTTTGTTTAATTTGATGCATTAATTTCCTCAGAGATCTTGAAGGAATCTTCCATGGAGCACGTGTTCTTTGGTTTTCAACAGTTTTGAGTTTTTATACTTTGCAATGAATGAACTAATGGTAGTAAATCGAATATTCAGGTTGTCTGAGATTTTCCTGTAACTTTTGCCTTCTTTCCAGAGCTTAACAATCACTTCTTTTTGCGAATTTTTCAGTTGTTTACCTCTTGTCATGATGATAACCTTCTTGCACGAATATCAATTACAAAATTTCTGTTTTAAATGTTTGGATTAAAAGTAACTACTGATAACATTATTGGGAACATTCCACTTTTTCACCAATAAAAATGTATAAATGGAATTTCCTTCTGTTAAATCCAATTTCTTTCTCTTTTCTATGCATATTTAGTTATTTTGCATCTGGGTACAATTAATTATATGAAAAGTATGTTTATTCATTAGTTGGAAATACAATAAATTAAAAATTTGTATGTGTACGACTATTTGTTTTCCCCACTATATATGTATATATATTCATGTATCTTCTTCTCTGTCTATCTAAATCTCTTCATATATATATGTCTGTCTATCTATCTATCTATCTATCTATCTATCTATCT